GGGCCGCGGGGCTCGGCGGTAACGTTGTCCCGCCGTAGGTGCTGGGCCGGGCTTACGCGGTGTTGAGCGACCCCGAGCAGCGCGCTGTGTACGACGAGCAGGGCCTGGTGGACGAGGAGTCGGACGTGCGGAGCCAGGACCGCGACTGGGCCGAGTACTGGAGGCTGCTCTTCAAGAAGGTGGGTGTTGTGTCCCCTCCCGGATCTTCCCTCATGCCTCTTGCTTGCCCTGGGTGTTTGTAGCCCTGGCAGTATCTCACCACCCCTGGAGGGACCTTGCAGCTGCCAGGTTGGGGGGAGCCAGCCAAGGACCGTCTCTGCAGGAGCAGGGCTAGCGACCGACAGCCCGTGCCCCGGATTCCACCTGTGGACGTGTGGTGTCAGTGGCACCTGGTGCAGGCGCTCTCCCCAGGTTGCCTTACTCAGCGGTATTAATTATGCACCCACCTTCTAATGCCTCGCCTCTGACAGACTAAACACACGCAAGGACCTGGGTGTTCTGGCATGGCTTTGTACCCAAGTTCCAAATGTAAATCCTACAGCCCCTGCTCAGGTCTTTCCTCATCTTGGAGGCACCTTCAAGTCCAGTGGTCACCAGTGGTCCCTGGACTTGAAGTAGATCTTAGAGCCTCTTGCGGTAGATCTGAGGCTGGGGTGGGGGACGTGCACATGCATACCCGAGCCCAGCAGGTCAGTCCACGGGGGAGAGAAGGGGTGGGGGCTAGATCAAGGTCCCTGCGGTGAGGGACAGTGCCACAGAAGCAGGGGTAAATTGAGTGTGGGGGACTTACCTGCTGGGGAGGTGTGCCCCCAAATAACTTTTTCTGCCACTGCCTTGATCTGTCCGTCCCCGCCTTTCTCTCCACACAGACTTACCTGCTTGTGGGGGGGAGATGGCACACAGTAGATCTTGGGTTGCTTTTAAATGCCAAAGGTGATCTCTTGTTTAAAAAGGTTGGAGACCGCTGCTCAAGTCCATCAGCACCTGGTTTGTTTTGTTTTTATTTTTGCCTCCATTTTCCTTGGGCGTGTAAAGTTCTGAATGGTGGCCCTCACCCTGCTGCCAGGAAGATAATAGTAGCAGTGCAGGGTTCCAGTACCTGCCTCCCCACATCTGAGCTGGGCTGAGTCATTTTGTCCTGCAGTTGGAAAAAGTTGTCTACTCCTGGTCCAGGGACATCCATGAGATACAGGGGGACAGAGCAGGACAAAGCTGAAGAGACTTGGTGGTTGATACTGAGACTGAACCACTTGGTGGTTCTGCCAAGGCTCCTTACTCTGTCATAAACCAAATGTCAGCAGTGCTCCCTCTTTTTAGGGTGACTTGGTAGCAGGGTTGTAGAGCCCAAACACTTGTCTAACCTTTCTTCCAAGTATATGGTTGGTCCAATAAACAAGGTCTGTCTGGTAATATCTTTTATCACAATTTGGGACAGTCTCTGGAGCTACAACGCTGACAAAGGAAGAGGAAACAAAGTGTCTTTCTTTGAGGTCCTTGTTCGTACCACTATATTTCATCAAATAGAAGCTGGTCTTGAATTGAAGATGGGCAAATTTTCTGACTCTTGGTTCAAAGAAAAGCCCCTCTTCCCCCTCTACCTCCCTCCCCACACACACATCCCAAATAAAGAGCTGTTTGCAAGTCTGTAGCCTGCATGGTATATACAAGAGGTTTTTTCTTTGCCTCAGATTGAAGATGCAAGTCCTCTCTAAAAGAAATCTTGGCTTTAAAAAGTACGTTTTGTACTTGAAGGAATACAAGGGATATTTTAGTGTGGTTTAACCACAGAGGACATCAATGACCAGACCGATAGTTCAGTTTCTTCAGAACTTGTTTTAAAAGATAGTGATGGGTGCGTGCGTGCACAGTACAATCTTGAATCTTAGCTAGTAGAGAAGATCATGGGAGGCATGCTGGGCTGCAGTGTATGGGGCCTTTTTATTCTTTATTTTCTTGCAAACTTGCCTTCTGCAAGTTTTATAATTAATGAAATTGTGCATGCTTTATTTTTTTAAATTCAGATCACCATAAAGGATATTCAGGATTTTGAGAAGAAGTACAAAGGTTCAGAAGAAGAGCTGGCTGACATTAAATCAGCATATAAAGATTTCAAAGGAGACATGGACAAGCTTATGGAATCTGTGCTGTGTGTGGATTATACAGATGAGCCCAGGATAAGGAAGATTATACAGCAGGCCATTGACTCAGGAGAGGTTCCATCCTATAAAGCTTTCATTAAAGAAGCTAGGCAGAAAATGAATGCAAGGAAAAGGAGGGTATGTTAAAATGTATACCAGGGCCCCAAGAGAAGATAAATGCCATTTGGTATTGAATGCCAAATATAAATATTTAAAAATGCATTTCACTTAAATCCATGTAGACTCTCTGTACTTCTTAATTTCTCCTCCTGATAGAATTGTGATACTCCTGTCTGTCAACTAGATGTTAAAATTTGGCCAGTCTCGGAACTCTCTGCATTCTTTTTCCTCGGAAGTAACTTAATTCTGCAAACATCACGTTCTAAAATTATAATCATTTTTTGAAAAGTTTCTATGCAATCATAGGCATTGTTCGCATTTTACTTTCTACTTGCATTTTTTTCTATATGAATACGGTTTCCCTTCTGTTAACAATTTAGCAAAAGTTTCAGTATAATTGAACTTAATTTAGAAGGGTATCTCAGATCATGAGAACAAAATATTATTTTACCTTAAGGTATCCCACCATGGTATTCACTTCTTATACCATCAGTTTTATGGTACCACTTCTTGTACCATCAAGTTTGAGTCTCATTTAAACAGTAGAAGCTATTTAAATACATGTCTGACAGCAACAATTAATATATCTTCCCAGTGATGGAATCATTAAGGGATAAGTGTTTGTGTTTAAAATGAATTGCATTTCTTGTGGACATGCTACCTTGAATAATAGTTTTCGGCTAGAGATTTTGTTTCTTTGCTCTTGTTTGCACGTAGACCACAAAAACTAAAAAGTCAGTGTCTGCTATAACAACATTTTGATCAAATGCAATACTAAGGACTCCTATCTAAGCAGTTAATTGCTATTTCAGGCTGAAGAAGAAGCTAAAGAAGCAGAGAAGTCCAGGAAAGAACTAGGCCTTGGTGAAGGAGAAGATGACTTGAAAGCACTTATTCAAGTAAGATTTTCAGAATATCTGGAAAGAGAATGTTTTTATCGCGATTACTGTTAACTAATTTTTGGGGATCAAAAGATATTTCATGTGCAGATATAATAATTTGATCCTCAGAACTACATATTCATCTATCTTAGTTCAGAATCTGATTCCCCTAGTGTTATAGTTCTGTGCATTCTTATTTATTCTTCAGAAAGTTCTAATCAACACTGAGCATAATGCAAAATCTTGTTGCATAAATCCTATTTTAAAATGACCTGGTTCATTGCAGTTATCACAAGTCATGCGTTTGGAACTATAAGACAAGTGGCTGACCTGCAGTGCATGTGCAGCCTCTGTGACACAGCAGATTGAGGAGTAGGCAGGGAGCAGAAGCAGCAGCAGAAGGGGTTGAAATAGCACTTGGGGAGGGCACAGGACTTGACTTGTGGCCTGTTTGCCATACAGGCTTGTTCCCATTGCCATTAGATATGGCACAGTGAAAGATGCATCGATGCATGTGCTGTCCCTGATGGAACTGGATAGCAATAGACTGGACATTAGGAAGAACTTCTTCACAGTTAGAGTGGCCAAGGTCTGGAATGCACTCCCAAGGGAGGTGGTGCTCTCCCCTACCCTGGGGGTCTTCAAGAGGAGGTTGGATATGCATCTAGCTGGGCTCATCTAAACCCAGCCCTCTTTCCTGCCTATGCAGGGGGTCGGACTTGATGATCTATTGAGGTCCCTTCCAACCCTAACATCTATGAATCAATACTCTTCAGTGGTGTCTCCTTGCTCCTTGTCTCCTTAGTAATGGTGGTTTCTACCTGTGCAGTAGAGTAAGGACATGCGATCATCCTGTATTTGCTGTCTTGAGACAGCTAGGTGTACTGAAATGCTTTTCTCTATGCTAATGATTATTCCATTTTATATCTTTAGCTCATCCTTCCCAGTAGTGTCAAATGGGCATAATTGGGGCATGAATAAGAGCAAGAGAGGTGAGGCTCAGTCCTTAAGAATATTACAGAATATGTAGGATTGAAGGAAGCAACTAGAGTAACAGATGTTCTAGGTCCTTTTATTGACTTCACGGCCCCTTCTGTGTGTACAGGTAAAAGCACAATGGGTTCAAATGTGCACTTCACGCAATCATATATTACATCCCATTGCACCTTATTGCTGGTACAGGGGAAGCCCGATCTTCAACTCCTCCTACACTGGCAAGAGGCAAGCTCCCATGGCTAAGAGCCCCACACACCCCAGTTAAGAGGCTCCCAGCTGCAGGGGCAATCTCCCTGTCCTGGGAGTGCGAACCAACCCTGTAGCAGGGGAATTGCCCCTGCAGCAATCCTGTGGCCCTGGGGAGCTTGCCAGAAGGCATACTACAGGATTTGCAGCCCTGACTAGGTGAGGTGCACCCCTGTGGCTGGGAGCCCTGTCAACTGATGGGACTCTCAGCCACAGGGGAGACCCTGCTGCATGTGCAAATTAAACTACGTTGGGTTGGAGTTTTTTGTAATGTGATAAGTACTTTGCATTTATAGCTGGTCTCAAGTCGATTCCGCAATTTACCAGGTAATTGCATGATACCTGTAACATGTAGAGGGGGCCTAAGTGATGATCAGACACCCTCAATGTTCTCATCTTACGGATTTAGTTAAATAACTGGATTCTTTAAAGGATGAAAATGTAGTAGGGGTGCACCGATAAAGATTTTTTTTTTGGCTGATATCATTAGCTGATGATTAACCAATTATATTGGCTGAAGTGGATCCAATAACTGATATTTAGTAATGGTGCAAGGCATTTTAAACTACTGACCTAAATAAACCTTTTTTTGTTAGCCTTACACATACTTATACACACACCTCCTGCCTGCTGTGGCCCTCGAGGAAGGTAGTGACAACTTTATTCCCATACATGTGGCCCCCCTTGCCCATGACTCCTGCCAGCAGCCCTGCTCTCCTTGCAGCATGTCCTGCCATCCCAGCTGGGCGGGGTGGACCCTCATGCAGACTGGCACCAGGTACATTTGGAGCCCCAGACCATGCCACTGCTGCAGTGCCGGCGAGCCCCTCACAGCCGAGCTCCTGCAGCCGCTGGGGAGAAGCTGCTTTTGCAAAGGTGCCCAGTGCCTGACGGAGCAAAATCTTTCTCGCGCAGCACCTTACCTCACTTGTGTGCAGCCCAGTCTCCACGGCAGCCCTAGTGTCAGGCCCCTGCTGTGCACAGTGTTGCCATGGCAGCAGTAGCAGGAGCCAGTAACAGTCTCTTTGCTGAGCATGGCACCCTGTGACCATTCCCTGGTACCCTCTCCCACTCCCAGCGCTCCCTGGGACCTGTAGTCTGCTATGGGTCAGACCAGCATCAGGGCACAGAAACTGGGCTATCCTCACCAGGGTGTTCCGGGCACACTGCCCTAATTGGTTACAATGATCAAAAAAAGCTGATAACCAATGTTATTTTCCTTTTATCACTGCCAATCCAATAGCCAACCAATATATCAGTGCACCCTTAAAAAAAAGTAGCTGTTGAAGATGCTTCCCCCAGCCTGGTGTATTTGACCAGGAGATTACTGGTCCATGATATGGATCTATCTTTGTCATCTCTAGACAGGATGTTTATACTGCGTTTTATGTGGTCACTACACCTTAACTTCCTTTACAGCTGAAGCTAGGAAAGCTGTTATTACTTGATTGTGTGGACTGCCTTCATATAAACACAGCACCCCGCTCCAGACTTTATTGATTTGCCTTCTGTTTTCCTAGTGGGATTTAAAGTGCTGACTCTTACCCAAAAGCCATGCCCAGATGAGCATGGACATTTGCTTCCTCAGGGCCAAATAGCAGTGGCACACTTTGTGCTGCTGCTACTTCCCCCCCAAGCAATGCCTGTGCCACATGCACTGGTGTGCAGCAGGTTACCTTGGGTGGGGTAGGGGAGGCTGGGACCAGCAACTGCTGGTCCCAGCTGGCTTACCTGAGGGCTGGGGCAGCTGGAGCATGGCTCCAGCAGGCCAGACTCTGGTTTTAGACCGTGCCTGCTGCTGCCCTGCTTTTTTTCTGTGTGGGGTTTTTTGCTCCTGGGATCTCACAGGGTCAAAAATAAACAAAACACCCCAGCACTGCAACGTAGCAGCACAGGAAATGCCTGAATGTGCACATACTGCATGGCCACGCTTGTCTGGACATGGTCAGAGTCCAAGTTGGTCGGATTCTGAGGAGTGTTGAGCATCTTGAAGTCCATTTAGGGAATTACAGGGGCATAGTTCCTTCAAAAAGCTAAGTCAGAAGTGACTTCAAGCCACTTTTTTGAGGAATTGTCTGTGTTCCTGTATCATGCTGCCATGGCTGAGGTTGGCGAAGATGCTGGAGTTAAAGCTCCTCTGATGTAAAAGGGAGGCTCATGAGAACCTTTTAACTTTTACAATTCTCTGCTTGCTTCCTTGCCTTGATTTGAAATAACTGGAACATGTTGATCTTTCCCAAATACTGCAAGGCTTACCTGCTTGAAAAGGAATCTAGGGGATGCTGTGGAAGCTGGAATATTAGGTATCAGATCATGACTTGTATTGTGCTTTCTGATTTAGACTCAGGGAGAAAGTACACTGTTTGGGCCATTTCATAAATGCTGGTAAGCCTTCTAAGATACCTAACTTTTTATAAGCAACTAAGAAACATGTTTCAATTATCTACTTGTAAAATGTCATGCGTGTAGTCATTTCCACCCCCCACTCCCCC